CAATTGGTCAAAGGAAATAAAGGTACTACATAAACAAGCTGTAGCAATAGGTGGAGAACACATAGATTATTTTGTTAAGGTACCAGAGGCCAAATAACATTAGCTGTTGGTTTCTTTCTGATCAAGTCTAGGTTTACCAACTTAATGATGTCGAAGAACCTATTTCGTTGCAAAGGAAACAAATTCATATTATCAAAACAACATGCACACAAGACACATCATGAAAGTTGACTAATAGATCATACATATGCATTTGTCAATAATTTTTTTGCATCTAAAGCTCGGTCCTTTTTCCTTTTCTTTCTCCTTAGTTCAAGATCACTATCCCCCTTTAACAAGTCAAGGACATAGAAGTTCAATGTCTTCGACTCTAGCACGAAACACATCCAATAATGGTTTACAAGAGCTAGATCAAGGATGAAATCACATTCAACTATATTGTATCCTACATATTAAAGTAGGATATCCCTCTTGTTCTTTTCTACCTTCCAAACGAGGGGATTTGATGTCATTTTTCACTACAAACAAGAACACATGATGCTACAAATTACAAAAAACAAAACATATTAAATAGGACATTTTAAATTTAATTTCACTGGAAGCTAACCATGAAGTCAGCATCAAATATATGTCGATAGATTGGACCTGAATTCTTGATATCACCTATTAATGCATGGCACAACAAAGTCATGAACTATAACCATAAAGGAGTTCATGTTATTCATACATTGCTATGTGTAATTTATAAAAAAAAAATTTAAATACTGTCTCATCTTGTTACTAATCCATTGCATTCCTCCCAAACATTAAAGTTCATTACGGGTGAGATATTAATCATACATTTCAACTAAGATCTTGAAACAGGGAATATAAATAACTTCTCTTAAACTTTCAGAAATGAATGAAAAATTAGGCAACAAAGGCTACTTACTCATCACCTTCCTTCCTTTTACACATGTGTGATACCATTGAAAACAATTGTTGCTTTTCATCAATCTTCTTTTTCATCCTATTCACCGACTTCAATAGAACCCAAGGAGACCTAATAGTTGGTATTTTTGTCCTTGTAGATCTCCTAAGTCATCATTCACCATCATCTTCCTTAACTTTCTCCTCTAATTTTTCCTCTTCGTCCTCTTCTTAGGAAGATACATGAATTGGAGATGACAAATTATCATTTTATTCTTCTTCTTCTCCTCCTTCATCAACTATACCTTCCTTTTCATCATCTTCTTCTTCCTTATCTTCTCCTTTATCTTCTTCTTCTTCATCTTCACCTTCTCCATCACCTCCATCTTCTTCTTTTTCATCTTCTTTAGACTCAAAATCTGCCTTGTTTTGTTCTTTAAACTCGGAGGCCAGATTGTCTTCACTACCATATCCTACCTAGTCATCTTCTTCCTCAACTTCAATAGTTGACTTGCCTTCCCCTTTTAATTTCCTCAATGCTTCCTTTTTCATTTTCTCCTTTCTGAATGGGGATTCAACATAAGCAATTAATCTTAGGTAGTTTTCTTCAATAACCCCTATTACTGTTGAAAATAAGTCCTTCAATTCCTACACATTTGTAAAATGTAAGCAAAGAAATAACTTGTTTTAAATGCTATTCTTTCCAAAACAGTGAGAAATAAATACCGAATCTAGATATGATGTTGTCAGTCTCTTCTTGGTGATAGTGGAAGTGAGCTCTCCTATAGAAGCACCATAAAGCAGCCCAATATTGTTGGCTCTCTCTTTTTGTAGTCTTTCCTTGGCTTGACTATCATTTCAATATTGGACAGTATTTCTTAAATCATGGTCGCTTGTTTCAACTAATGAAAAATGCTCAAAAAAATAGATCTGCAAGAACATACATATAATTATTACATTATACTTAATATAAAGGCATTATAATGAAAAGAATACTATAAATCCATCTATACATACCACTAAAAAATACAAACATCCTCCAACATTTGCAATCTGATCCTTCTTCTTTTTCCTCATTTGTTTCAAATACTCTTCCAACTCGTCACACAAGTCATCTAATATGTATCTTGACCAATTGAAGCCTTTTAGTGCATTCTTAGTGCAATACATTACCTTAACCATCCGTTCACTAACATCAGCACTAGCACTTAGACGTAAAAGTATTCCCAATGTGTACAACAAAAATGAAAACTCAAAGTTTTCATCCTCTACTCTAGATTTAATCAATGCCAATATCTTCTTATATGGCATTTTATAATATTTTTCCCTTAACCTCAAGAATGCTTCCTCTTGGTCATCCACCTCTATTGACACCCTACCAAAGGATAATCCCATCAATGTGTGAACATCTTCTACTTTCATTTCTTTTCACTTCCTTCTAATGTAAAATTATGGGTAGGTGGATCATATGAAGATAATAATTGAAAACAGAGGTCTCGAGGGAGTGTTTTCCATCAGATATTAAGTAACACACCAAACCCAATGTTCTCTACCCTCGTTCTTAGGTTCTCATTCTCTTTCACTAACTCTGCAAGCTCCATAAACTACCTCATAGAGCACCTCGTGTGAAAAGGAACCTTGTATTTACTTTTTGCAACATGTCTATCAAATTTTAATTACCTAGCCTTCTCAACATACTTGGCTTTTTCAGCCTTTAGCAACTCTTCTCAAGCCTTGAGTTCATCTTTTATTCTATGTTTCAACCTCATTTTCTTACACTTATCTTCATTTTCTTTGAGAAGGTCCTTCTTGAAAAGACTTAACACATTCACCATCTTCCCTATCCTAAACAATCAAGTCTCCTTGTTAATAATTTACAATCTTCAAAGAATATACATAATCCCACAATAAGGCAATAAAAATGACAGGCGCCCAAATGTTGTACTCATGAGCTCCAAAGCCATATTCCATGCCTAAATCAGACTTAATCAGATAATAAAAACTCCTTATGATTATTTTGTATGTGTACTGAAAATATTTGCACAAAATTAATATGCTTTTGTCCTCAGTGACTAAACCAGACTTATAATTCTATTAAAGAATGACTATAATACAAGACTAGAGAGATTTTAAATTTAGAAAAGAGTCACAAGATTAGGCTGCTAAATAACTGCAAAGAATGAATAGAAGTTATGGTCTGTGATGATAAAATATGCAAACTTCAAATTAAGTAGGACCAGAAGAGTGCTTTAGAAGCTATGTACCGACATTGTATTATCCACAGCTCTACCTTAGTATGATAAAGTACCAACCAATCGCTTAAATAAAGTATACAAGAAAAGTAGTATATCTACAAGCTTGAGATGCTTTTTCTTAAAACATTGAAAACGGGGAACATAGATTATTTTGTTCATCAATTTTTGGTATATTATTTTCATTGTTATAAAAATGAAACTTGAAAATTTAGCTACTCTGAACCATTTTTCAACAACGTTGAGAAGAGGAATGAATACCTTAAACCAACGACGCTTACTAGGAACTCAAGTGCGATTGGGGAGAGAGGGAGAGAAGCTGTTGGACTTACTTCCAGCAACACAAACACATCCACAAACTAACAACGATAGACCCACTACCGGGAATGCCAAGACAAAGCTGACAGTCAAAGCTGCTGGAGATAAACCAAATCGCAAACTAGAATGCTACAGCCACACTGCTATGGCGACACTACGATGGTGAGATGGCAACAGAGACACACACAGCTCAAGCGACATGTGATGATAGAGAGACAAAGCATACAATATAACACGACTAAAATGGGGGAACTGACTTTTTTTTTAATTTGAATAAAAGAAAAAAGTATCATTTCCTTAAATTCTCTAATGAGAAAAACATCCCTTGAGACCTCAGAGGAATTATATTATTTCGAGAGACCAATCTGTTAATTAGCTAATTTAAAGCTATCATTTTCCCATGCTAATTTACTTGATGAAATAAATATAAAAACAAATATACAACATAATGGGGTACATTGAAGTTTAAGATAATACATTTATAGATTCTATGTTGAATTAATGTCAGTATTTTTTGTTCATTATTTCTTAATAATATAGAATTTAAATATGTTATATCTATAAATAATTTTTTCACCATGTTTGAATTTTTTTTTTTTTTTTGCCAATGAGGTTAAGTCTAGTGGAAAGAACGCTAATCCCTTATAATGTGATGAATTAAGGTTCAAATTCTTATTGAGAAAAATGCTTATATTAAATACTCAACTATGCCTCAAACAATATTGCCTTCAATAAGATAGGAAGATACATGTGCACAATAAAAAAAATTACTTTTAGACACAGTTTAATCTATATTTATTTATTTTCATTTATAAAGATAGGCTTGTAAGAGTTTACTTTGAGTTTATTTTATGGAAAAATGAGAATGAAGATCTGAAACAAGGAATAAATGACAGTCCCCCATAATTTTTTTAAAAATAAATTATAAATATCAATTCAAATACAATTGTAAATTCAAAAATTTTAATTGTAAATAAGATATTTAAATTCTAAATATAACTCTCACTTTGAAATTAGAATTATAATTGTTTAAATTAATATTTATATTTAATTTTTCAAAACTTGAGAAAATTATTATGAAGTGGCACCCAAGGATTTCAATTAAATTAAAATTTTAAGAAATGAAGTACTACCAAGTCTCAAATCCCTACGACTTGGATATGAGAGAGTAATAACTTGAATATGAGTTTAATATAAAGTTATTATTATTATTAACCAGGCTGTTATTTTCTCATACTCAAATTGTGATTGTAAGGGAATTTAAGATTCGGTGTCAATTTATATGTTTCATGAGAATTTAAGATAATTGAAATAACTTCACAGTAATTTTTTCAGGACCTAACAATCATTTTCCCTCCTTTAAGACTTTAATGCCATTCTGCCTTATTTTATGTCAATTGAGCTTATCTACTGTTCTCTCACTCGTTTGACAACGACATGAGCTTATCTTCTCCTCGTGAACTTATCTGCACTAACCAATTTGATAACCTTCCTACTATCCTCGCTCTCTTGGCTTGTGTTCATTGTACATTTGCATAAATATGCTGATTTTTTCCTCCCTCAAATAAATATAATTCCATAGATCTTTGCCTTCGTGTGTGTGTGTGTCTATAAATATACTCACCACAAAGAACGAAATTCATATCAGCTCATTGTATACCATCTAACATCAAAAAAGCTTGCTCCCAGTCTCCACCATGGCCGCAAGTGCTTCAGAGGTTGCCTCAGCTCCCATTAAAAGGTACCTAACCTAAATTTATAACTTCACCTATATATATGTATGTATGTATGTATGTATGTATCTCTATCGTCTATCTTCTCAGTTTTCTTTTCAGGTGTTCTCACTGTTTAGTTTTGAGAGAGAAAATCCAAATATGAGAAATTCTGAGGGAAATTATGTGAACTTCTTTTGGAGAGGAAGCTACTATTTTCTTGAAAGTTTATTAATTATATCTCTTCTTTTGAATCCTATTTAGTGAGAGTAATGGAGAAGATGGTGGAGGAACAGAGTTTCTAATAACTTTGACTTAGAAAAAAAATAAATAATTGAGGTTATAAAATTTTAATAGAAGGAATATGTAAATTAAAAAGAGTAAGAACTATTAATTAAATTCATTGAAATATAGGCTCATCTTTCATTGCCCTTCAACCAAAACAGAGCCATAAGTTTGAATATGTTCTTGAAGCTCCAATCTTGTTGCAGGCTTGAAGGCAAGGTGGCTCTCATCACCGGCGCTGCAAGAGGACTCGGCGAGTGTACTGCAAGACTCTTCACCCAACATGGGGCTAAAGTGGTAATTGCAGACATTCTAGACGACCTTGGACACTCTGTTTCCCAGACCATACCTGGATCTACCTACGTTCACTGTGACGTTACAAACGAGAAAGACGTCGAAAACGCCGTCGACACCGCAGTTTCAAAATACGGCAAGCTCGACATCATGTTCAACAACGCCGGTCTCGGCGATTACAACAAGGACAACATTCTCGACAACGACTTGGCCGATTTTCAGAAAGTCGTTAACGTGAATCTCATCGGAGTGTTTCTCGGTACCAAGCATGCCGCAAGGGTGATGATTCCGGCACGGAGCGGCAACATTATCAATACTGCTAGTGTTTGTAGTATCGCCGGCGGGCTATCATCGCATGCGTACACGAGCTCCAAGCACGGTGTTCTAGGGCTGACGAAGAACACAGCGGTGGAGCTTGGCCGGTACGGGATTCGAGTGAACTGTGTATCGCCATATGTGGTGGCGACTCCCATGGCGAAGGAATTCTTCAGGCTTGACGATGAAGGAGTTCATAACATTTATTCACCACTTAAGGGCGCTGCTATTGAACCACAAGATTTCGCTGAGGCTGCTCTGTTCTTAGCGAGTAATGAGTCCAAGTTTGTGAATGGCCACAATCTCGTGGCTGATGGAGGATATACTATTACAAACTATGGTTTCACTATTTTCAAGTAAGTATGTGTTTTAAAAAAATGGGCTTCGTATTTGCCCCTCTCCCCAAAAAAAAAAAAAAAGGACTTCATCAGTATTGTTGGGAAAATATGTGTCTTAAGATGTTTGTGAAGTGCTCTTTGTTCGTGTTTATGTATTCACCTGTTTGAATAATTACGCACATGCACGGCGTGTGCTTAGTTCTTGTTTATATGTTCAAATAATCACGCCTATGGCATGTGCTTATAATGTAATAAAGTTGTTAACTTTGTTTTATAATTTAAGAATGTTACCTTCTTAACCGCCATCTAGAGCTGTCAATTAGGACCGACTTTTGAAAGGTTAAGACTTAAATAAGCTAGTCCAATTAAGCCTAATTATGTCTCAAGACTCTATTTTGGTCTGTCTAGCCCTAACCCTATGGGCTGAAGGGCCAGTCTTCAATGTCCTAATTTTTTTATTTTTTAATTTAAAAATATAAAAATATATATTTAAAATTTTAAAATAGTTATTATGTATAACATTAAGTCTAAAAAAATAAATTTAAATTAATACACACAACAATACATTTAAGTCTAATAAAAAAAATAATATCATAAAATTAACATCGATAACGATCAAACTTTTCTAGTACCGTCAATTAAATCTTAATAATTTTTATTATCATCAACATCAATATAATTTTATCATTATCTTTGTGGAGCCTCATTAGTGATAAAGATTAAGATTTTCATATATTTCTTCTTCATTCTCATGAAATGAGGCTACAGTGTTTTAATTAATATAATATTTAATTTCTTTAATATCAAATTTTAAAAAAATCATAAAAAATCTTAAAAGAGCAGCCTTTTTATTTTAAGGCTTAAAAGGATTAAAGGACTAAATCTTTTTAAGCCCGAATTGTCATTTACAATTTAAAATAGCGGTCTAGCCGTGAATTTTTTTTAACTTAAAAATCAAGCTCAACCTTAATTGATGACTCTATTGTAATTCTTAGGATTCTAAGATTTGTATCCTCTCTTTAGTCTCGCTTTGTACCTCTCTTTACACCTAATCTTATTCATTCATTTAATTATTTATTTGATTTAACAGTATAAAATTGTTAATTATAGTATTAAACTAAATATATTATTCATTTAATTAATAACATGATTTTGTTTTAAAAAACATTTAATCGAATAGATAATCAAATTGATGAATAAGATACAGAGAAATGTATAAACAGAGCATGGAAGGTCAAAATCTAGTGTACCAAGAAATTGAGATTTTGGCTTCTATTAAATTACTAGCTTTAAATTTCTTTATCAATATACTCCATTCGTCCTTTTTTATGAAATCCCATTTCAAAATTCATGCACTACAAATTACAATGAAGTGGCAGTGAAGTTAAGTTAGTGACTTGGTGTCCAATTCAAGGTGAAGCAATTGACAATTTATTTTTACACTGTTCTTTTGCTAGAGTTGTTTGGTTTGGATCTGATGTAAATTCACCAACGCATTCTATGATTTCCAGATTTTCGATCCAATGGCTCATTGATTGGATCTCTGAAGTTCAGAGGCGATGAGTGTTTAACACTGATTTCATATCTTCCATTTTTTATTATTCATGCTTTATGATTTCGCAAGAACTAACTAATATTTCATAACAAGCATATATGTTACAAGGCCATTACCCTCTTCTCAAAAAACTCATTTAGTGGAGTGTGTAATATCCATTTATATAATCAGGATCTTCCCAAAGTCCTTCTAATGTGAGATGTAATAATTTTCCTAGCTAATCTGTGAAGCCCACATCACAAGTGACCCCACCGATTGGACAAACCCAGGACCAGCTCTAATACAGTTTTTGTCACAAAGCCATAACTCTTTTCTCAAAAAACTAGTTTAATGAATGTACAATGTACCCGTTTATGTAACCAGGCCCTCTTGAAATCCTTCCAATGTGAGATATAACATACAACTCTAACTTGACAAAATAGTCCGTTCTTCCTCCACTGTCATAGGTTCTGTGAGTCAGGGAACAATACTCAGCGATGCTGGCAGCCTCTACTGGTGCGATCACCTATGCTTCCAAATGTACATTTGCCTGATAGTAACAATGTTCTTCAGTGGAAGCCATGCTGTTCAATATACAAGATGAGAAAGAGGAAGGGCGGTTCCATCGGGCCTTCTTTTTCCAAAATTAACAGATGCATCAATGGCCTTGGCAAGCAATACGTCGAAGAGGACTACATATGCTGCTAGAATCATTTCGTTATGTTCTTCTATTTATTAAGCATCAACGGTGACTTGCCAATCCAATGTCTTTTCCGCTGGTGCTGCTTTTGCAGAATATTTTTTATCTTAATTTTGTTTTTGGTTGACAACAGCCTCAATGTATTTAAACATTGCTGCAAAAGGAAGCACAGAAGAGTGAAGATTGTATGAGAGTTTATTTTATTTTATTATTTTTTTATCTTTGGGCACCTGTGGAATGACAAAATTGAAGAGGGTATATTAGTCAGAAAAAATAGCTCCCCTCCAATAAAACCCCAATTTAGAAGGGAGGACCAATACCCCACAACTAAACACACCCTAAAAATTACTAGCATGTTTGGATTAGTTTATAACTTAAGTTAGAGTGGATCAAACTGAGGTTAGAGTATGAAAAGCTCAAAAAAGTTGTTTGGATGAGCAAAAATTTTCAACTGAAGTTAGGTGGCAACGAGCGTTTTTCTCCAAGCCGTGAGACCTAGCTTTTGCTTCTCCATTCACGTTAACGTTGATCCACTGGAAAGCGTTAAAAGATTTTTAAATTTTCATGCTTTCTCTCTCTTCACCCAAGCTCCAGCTCTGCTTCACCTTCCTCGCATGCGTGATCATTCTTGTGCTCATGGCCTCCCTTGTTTGCGTTGCGCACAGGTGACGTCGTCGCCGACGGCTGATCTCCACTGTGTGGGTTGTTCACAGTAACTTCCGGCCGATCTCAAACTCTATCGTCCTTGCTCACACCTAACGTATCCCTGCTCTAAAGTGTGGTTCTCCATGTCGCCTCTCAATCTCCATTGTAGTCTAGCAAATCTGCGCTTCTCATGGTCCACCATCGTCGTCAAAACTTTGCACCCTCTGCTTCACGACTTTCGACCATTGTTGCCACTGTTTTGTGATCATGTTTTGCCCCTGCTTCACTAATAGGTATTGTCTTTTTATTTTTTGGCCAACCACTGATGGTTATTATTATGTGTTGCCCTTTTTTAAAATATGCAAGGAAAATTAAAATTAGAAAATAAGTATTAAAAAATCAGTGATATAATTTACATATTAGCTTCTTTTAATGGTTAATTTGCATTTTAAAATTTAAAGGATTAATGCAATGATTGAAAAAACTTTAAAGAATTGAATCAATAAATATTAAATATAAGAGATCAAATTGATAACTCATGCAAACATGAGGGATTAAAATTTATATTATTCTAATTTTCAATTAGGTTTTTGCTATTTAGTTCTACTTTTGTTTACAAGAATTACTATCTTTTCATTGAACACTAAAAGTCTAAAACATTAATGCATATTTTTATTTTTATTTCTTGCTCATTTATTATTTAGATTTTCCATCACTTTATTTTCCCTCAACTTTACAGATTTATTTTATTTCAATTTAATTTGTATAAAACTAGAGTGCATTTTTTTAAAAAAAGTCTTGCTTTTAATGAATATATATATATATATATATATATAATAACTACTACTTTTGTATATATAACATAAAACTGAAATTATATAAAACTTGATTTTTAAGTTTAATATTTTTTACTCATTAGTCAGTCAAAAAATATAAAAAAATCATACTTAATTTTTTGATTAAATATCTCAATTGACTTTTGAATCAAATCATCTAAACAAATTTCAATTTATCTAACTGACTTTTGAAGAAAAGATATCCAAACATAAATCACATTATATTAACTGACTTTTCCTCTAACTTCAGTTTGCTAATCTCAATTGAATCCTAACTTAAGTTGTAAATTTTTTAATCCAAACACACACTACATGTCACAGCGGCTCCCCCAGCTAAAGAGTAATAGTTCCACTTTCATTTCCACTTCAATTACAATTCCGTGTTACCAAATGGGGTATAAGAGAAGAACCATAACTGCCAAGTTTAACTTCTACTTCTAGACATCTTTGTACAGTAGCTGGTATTTTGGTATCCGTTCTGGTGGAAGAGGGCACTTCACAATAGGCTTTCCCTTCATTGCTCCTCTATATATTGCCTGCAATAATTTAATCAATAAATTTAAAAAGAAAAAAAAAATCATGCACCTGATAGATAACTTCATAATATTGAAGGATTGATTCAGAACATGAGAAAGAAGAAATGTATCCATAGTAGTATTTTCCAAAAAAATTGGCCTCCTAGGAAAATCTATTACACTTAAACAGTAAGAAATACAGATCGATGCTGGTTGAACCACAAAACTGGACGTAGATCAACCAGTTCCTTTGATTTGACACTCAAAACCAACAGAGAGGGCAAAATCCGTCCGGGGGAAAAAAAACACGGGGGTCAAACCATAAAACTAGGTGGATTTGGCACAGATCTTATCAAATCCCAATTGCTTTAGAAACAGAATTTTGGCATATTGTGATAGAGATTTAATCTCCTCAACTTGTCTCACAAGGATATTGTTCATACATAGAATGATTTAATCGGTCTTATATTTCTAATATTTACATCCATTTTAAATATTATTTTATAATATATGTATTGATTTCATTGTAAAATATTATCTGTGTGTGACTCGACTTCAGTTCAACTACAGTCAGACAATCGAACTATGAACCGCTTTTTACCCTGAATCAATTTACAACATCAAACTAAAATACACTCCAACAGAAGGAGACCTGGATTGCTTTGGCACAAGATGATATAAACTCCCTCCACTCCTATACGTGAAACGGTTAAAAGTGTCCTATAATAAAGACCGGAGGGAGTATATCACACTTGATAATACTGATCAAACACTAAAATCATCCTAGGCATGAAATTAGAATAAAACATGGTCAAAAATGGCTAAGCAAAATCAAACCAGAAAAGCCATTTTCAAGCATTCCCAGTTTCTTAACTCTCAACTACAACCAGTTTCAAGCAAAGAGGCAGAAACAGGAAGATAATATTATGCCTATCAAAACCAAACTAATACATAGAAATAAGGCAGGAAGGCTACAAGAGACACTGGCTTTCTTAACTCTGAACTACAGCCTTATAGAGTCAGGACCATTTTAAAGAATTATATACTTTTCTAATAGTCGATGTTTCACAAACCCAACCTATAATTCCACCTCCTTTAACCAGGATCAAACTGATAACTATATCATTGTTTTTCTTCCCTCGTGAATTCCCTGTTTTCTTCCCGTAGTCCCGTTATTGGGATGTTCTAGTAACATTCATTTTATCAATTGATTAACAATTTGCAATCATATGATGCTAGTGTGAAAGTCCAAATTCAAAACAATTGATAACCATGCCAAGTCAATAAGCAATTTACTACAAAAGGAATGATTTTGAAGAAATGGAAAATTTACCTCTACAACATCAATAAAGTCTTGCTTTCGGTGAAAAGTACCAATCCATTTAGTATGGTCAGCAGTCCTACATAACAGATCATAAAATTAAAACAATAAGTAGAGTTAATTTCAAAAGACATAAGAGTATCGCCAGGTCTCAAATTCAAAATTGGGGTAGAATGGTATGAAATAAGCATTTAAGAATTCAGATTTGAAGATCACAGATGCATACCCTGAATCCATTTTCATGTGATGCGCATTGAAGAAGAAAACTGTAGATGGAATCAGGGTAATGTCAAAATACTTGAGATAGACTTGAATGTCCTTGGAGTCAACATCTACAAGAGCCACAGTTGCAAACTTGGACACATCCCTCGCTGATTTAGAAAGCTGGAACAATATCAACAAAATTTTACGACGTTAGAGCACTTGAATGTCTGGTCTGAGTTTTAAATCATTGCTGAACATATTATGGATTACTAGCATTTTGAATTTTCCAGCTCAAACCATGATAATCAATTTTGTGGCGTAAGGTTCAGATGATTCCCCGATGCTCCATTACAAAATTTCACTATAAATATCAGCCAAACATAAACTTTATAATTTAGAACCTACCAAAACAATTATCAAATGAAAAATCATGAAACAAATGTTATATTTGATGTGCTAACCAAAAATATACAGTGCTGACAGAAGTCATACCCAACTAATTTGATTATCTTATACCAACTTACAAGGAAAAAGCACTTTACACGCACCTTGAATGATATTCACATGGATTACAATTACTCAATTATTGAGGAATTTTAACAATCAGATTGTGATCTAATGGCGTTGAGGGTGAAGTTACAAATTTATTTTTTAAAAAAAATACATAAAGGTCTTTACTTTAACATCACTAGATCATGGATAATAACTGAAACTCAACTGAGGGGATCAAATTAGATTTAACCCTAAATGAAATAACAAGTGTTCGGTAATTTTGACTCCCTTCGCACGCAAGGGGATCGACAAAGCAGAAAAAGGGCAAGGGGTTTAATTCCGAGGTTTTTCCTCATATAAATGAATCGTTTAGCAAGAATTTAATTCCTTGTCCCCTCTTTTCAGTACTATTGAACATCACCGCAAATTAGACTCAGATAACCCGAAACCTGTAAACAGATATTATTTATAACACCAAAGTCTGAAACAATTAATGTTTCATGGCCAAAGAGTACGACAAAGAGGATACAAAATATGAGGAACAGAAGAAGAGAAAAGGCATACAATATCGTCAAGCACGAGACATGCAGGGTCGGAGGAGCGGCCGAAACGCAGGACAAGGACCTTCTCTAAGGTGTCTCTGATAACGGTATCGACGTCGTGCTTCTTCTTCAAAGTTGTTAGCAGAAAACTCATTTTACTTCACTGTGAAAGTGACGAACCAAAGAGAGGCGATTGAAAAATAGTCAAATTCCAAAGCACAAATGCGCGCAAGAATTGGGAGAGAATCCGATGAGGAAGACTGTTTCCCTCAAGAGTATAATTATTAATTTCATTATTAATCTTCGTTGGTATCTTTGAATCGAGAAGCCTCTTCTTTTAGTGTAAAAATTTCAAAACCACTCTACAAATCGGGGCCGATGGTCCTCGAACGCCCTGAACCTCAAAAAAACGACATCGTTTTGATTAGAGTGGTGGTCTGGCTCGGACAGCGCAGATGAAAGACAAATTTATTACTTTTTTTTTTTTTACCAAAATATTTATTTATTGGTTGAATGATTTGGTTAATAAGAATTATAAATTCATAAAATTATAAATTTCGATTCTGCCGCTAATGTAAGGACTTGTTGATGAGTAATGTACAATTACCTCTTTTGCTGTCTTTGAATTTAAAAGCGTGACCTAATCATTGTAATTTTTAGACTCAACTCACATCAATTTTTAATAATAAAAAGGAAATGACATATTCTTTTTTCTTATAATAGAAAAGACATTCTATTGATCTTGATTATTTTTTAGATATTAACATCAATTCGAGAAATTTTAGCATTTTTTAACTTTTAAAAGTTGTCAAAATTTGGAGAGAGAAAAAAAAGGAAGCATAATTTTAATTATTTTGAGAATGTTAATCAAAATATGAAAGTACTGCCCCCGGGTTTATTTATAGAAAACAAGTAATATAAATAGGCCGGATGGATGTACAAAAGTCATACCATAAAATCAACTAAATAATAATATTTTTTCTTGGTTGTAATAAAATGAAACATGATTTCAATTTTTTTCATATATAATTCTTTTAATAAAATATATAAATTATCTAAAAAGAAATTTTTTATAAGATAAAAATGATTTGTTTTCAAAGTTAAAAAAGCAAACTATGCAAATATATAAAATATATCATCACTTCTGCTTCTTCTTCTTTGTAAGAGTTTTAAGTTAAAAACAAAAACAAAAACAAGGAGGGTTATCATCTTCTTCTTCATGGTTTGAAGGAGTTTTAAGTTTAAAAAACAAAAGCAAGGAGGGTTAGGGCCTGTTTGGTTTCTATGTTTATTTTTTATTTTTAAAAATTGTTTTGTAATATAGTTTTCAAAATTATTTTTCAAAACAAAATAAAATAAAAATTTGTTTGGTTATATCAATTAAAAAACAGTTTTAAAATTTAAAAATGGACTGATAGTGATAATTATAGGCAATTAAAGATGATGATTAATAATAAAAATTTGTTAAGGTAGTTATAATTTTTAATAATCAAATGTAATGTATTTTAAAAACAAGAAAAATAAAACGAGAAAAACTTGAAGTTATTTCTATTTTTTATTTTTAAAAAATAAAAAAAAAACAATTTTAAAAATAATTAAATGAAAAAAATTTATCCAAATAAATTTTGAAGTTTTTCTATTTTCAGAAAAAAACAGTTTTTTTTTTAAAAAGAAATAGGCCCTTACTTCCTTGTATTATAGTAATTTTTTTTAACCAACAAAGATGATTCTCATTCATTCCAACTCATTCAAAATAAACAAGGCAAAAAACATAGAATCTAAAATGACATAAAGGAAACCAAAAAAAAAAAAAAACAGAAAAGCATAAAAATAATAAAAACCTAAAATAAGGGGACTTCAAAAGTAAGTTACACTAATCTAAAATGAACCAAGACAGGACCTTTTTGAATAGAAGCTCTACTACTAACGTTATTACATTTTTAAAACTTGAACTCTGAGACATCCAATTAAATCAGTATAACTTGCTTACTAATTAAACTAAGGTGTGGTTAGCATAAATTCTTTGGCTCGAGTAAATATCCCAATAAGACATTTCATGTTTGGATGTATTCCATTGAAGAACATTTGGCAGCATAACTTCAATATTTTCCAGAAGATCATTGCAATGTAAGCGTTAGTAAATTTTATTTAGTATCTCCACAATTATTTTGAGGTATAGTCATTGTCTTTTTTTAAAAATACTCCTATTGATAGTAACTTTATATTTATTATAGGGTATTTAATAGGGATAAATTTAAAAAAATATGATTAGTTTGAAAATAGGTAACTACTTTATTAAATGGTGAGATTCGATTAAAAATGTTTTACATTTTTGAACAGAAGAAATGCATATTATTTTTAATAAGAATATTATATTTCCATTTAATTTTTATTATGTATCCTACATGATCTTTTAAACTATAAAAATCTTATTATTTTTTACATCTTGTCTATAATTTTAACATTTACAAATAAAAATTTATATGGAAAATATTTTTCATCCTATATAAATAAATTTTATTAATTAAATTATAGTTCCCACATACATTTTTTTACTATTGGTAATTTATTTGCATATTTAATATCAATTATTTTTACTAATAATTTTATATCTACTGTCAAGTTTAACTAATGAATTCTATATGATATTTCAAAATATAAAAATCTTAATATTTTTTTTACATATTTTCTAAATTTTTAACATTTAAAAATGTAGGTACCACACTCAATTTTTTTAATGGTAGATCCCACACATGTTTGTTTACAATGAATCCCATAGCTATATTTTTTTTTATTTTTTTAAAAGAATCAATTAACTAATTTAAAAAGGTCTCTCACTTTTTTATTATTATTAATTTCTTTACATATCTAACACTTATTATTTTTATTAAAAATTTTATATTTAGTTAATTTTTATTATAGATCCTACATGATCTTTCAAAATGTAAAAATTTTATTATTTTTTATATCTTGTTTAAGTTTTTAAAATTTACAAATGTAGGTTCTACAATCACATTTTTTTAATGGTAGGTCCCATAACCAATTTGCTAATGATAAGTCCCGCGCTCAATTTTTTTATAATGGGTTCCACAACTATATTTTTTTATATTTTTTAAATAAAATCATCCATTAATTAATTTTTTAAAAAAAGTAAAAAAAAAGAAATGCACTGTAGGTCCAACAACCAATTTTCTAATGATAGGTCCCACGCTCAATTTTTTTTATAATGGGTTCCACAACTATATTTTTTTATATTTTTTAAATAAAATCATCCATTAATTAATTTTTTTAAAAAAGTCAAAAAAAAAAGAAGAAGTGCACTGTTTTTGTTTTTGTTTTTGCTTTTGCTTTTGCTTTGCTCGCACTACACCCTTCCAAAAGAACTCACATACCCCAAAAGGATTCGCAACTATCACCCATCTGATTTGGGGATGGCTGAGGTGCCAGTAAGCTTTTATCCTAGACCTATAGTGCTTTGACATTGTGCTTTATAATAAATATAGATAGGATATAGATAGATTGCAAATGTGTATTTTCCCTTTCTGATTTATGAAGTGATAAATCATAAATTAAGGCATTTCTAATAGTATATTATCTAGGTAGGTCCAACTGTTTGATTTCCTCGTATGATAAATTTTTGAAAAAAATTAATTTACACGTCCTTATATTTTTTCTTGATCTTGAATCAATTGCCTTGTAGTTTGATTGATTAAATATGTTAATCTTTAAATGTTAAAGTTATTAATAGATGATTAACTTTCTCAAAATAAAAAAAATTTAAAATTGTTAGAAAGTTTGATATAATGTATTTGGATAAAAAATAGAAAAATTGATTTGATATAATTTTTTACATTTTTATCAAATTTTTCATGAAAAATTTTAAATGTATAAAAATTATTTAGAAGACATAACTTAATTATATAAATTTTGAGTTATAAAAATAAAAAAAAAACACAATCATTAATACCTTTAATTTATTGAGTTTTTCTTTTAATTCATGTAGTTTTTTTCAATATTTTCAAAGATAAATTGGCCCACTAGCCTAAAAAAAAAATCTTGTATCCAAAAAATATAGATCAAATTTTTAAAAATTTAGATGTGTGTTTGGTTCATATTGATATATAAAAGTTTTCTTAATGATATATAAGAAATTTATTATTAATATATAAGGGCTTTGTATCATTGAAAATTTAAAAATTTACAATATATTTATCATTGATATACATCATTAAATTAATGACAAAAATAATTAACCAATTATAATATAAAATATAATAAATATTGGATTGTTTACTTGATTTGATTTTATAATATGGGCTATATCTATAAAAGCCAAGATTGAGTGATATTTATTTATTAAGTACTTAAGAATATTAAATTACAGGAACTATAAAAATTGAAAACACTAAAAAAATTATAAAAATTAAAAAATATTAAAAAAATTATAAAAATTAAAAGTAAAATTTAATAAAATTTATATGAATCAATGATTATAATTTCATAAAAGGGATGACAATTATTTTTAGTTTTTATAGAAATCGGCAAAGAACAACGTCGGATACGAGGAACCGCAAAAAGCAAAGAAAAATCAAAATGAAAGCCCAATACAAATAGTACAAACATCTATACATGATTGCAACTGAAACAACGAGCCCATACAGAATTTAATCAAAGGAAAACAAATTAAAAGTCTAATAAAATATTATGCAACAACGCTACGGGCCCACAAACATTCTAAAGCAACGGATCTTATGTTAATGTAGATCAACAATAAATGACCGACGGTGTTTACAAAGGATTAAGATAAGATTAAAGATAAGATTAAGATTTTCAGCTCTAGGAATCCACGGATCTCTCCAACCTTTTCTGTATAGGTACCACTCCCAACATGCCAATACAGCTCCTTTTTGAGAAATTCGTGACCAATTTAGTATATTGTCCCGTATCCGCTATCCACCAAGCTTTTCATGTCCTTTCTCAGCATTCATGAACGACTTGCGAAGAAAATAAACACTTTCTAAAATTCTTACTCCAAGGCTATCCAGATTTTGAATAACATGCTAAATAGTTTTTCTTTTTTTTTTTTAGGATTAAATGGTAAATTTGCCTTAAAAGTTTTTTGCTAGATGCAAGTGGTATCCTTAATTTTTGATTGATGCAAAATCATCAATGTTAAAAATGATTCTTATTTTTGAATTTTGACAAAAGGTCTTACATAAGATTGCTTCGATGCAAAATCAAATCTACCCTAAGTACTCCAAAGAATTGTTCTCAAAGAATAGGCTTGCCTTTATTTTGTCCATGAATAGTTCTTG